TAAATTTGTTTAATATATTACCTTTAAATGTTTTTTCAAATTAAAGCTGCTCGTATGATTTGAAGAGATAATTTTGCTGCACATCTTGCACCGAAACCGATATCCAGTATTAATTTTTTCTTCAAGGTTAAAGTATTTCTTGAATTTTGGGAAAGGATCATCTATATTTTGCTCATTTTCCAAAGAAATTTCAATATCTTCAACAATCTCACATATAACAAGATTTATAATGCTTAATATAAAATGTAAAAGAAATATAAAATAAGATAAAAGCAAGGACATACCAATAACGGAATTTCAAAAATATATAATTTAATGAATGCGCGAAATATAAATTAAATACAGATTGCTATTTAACAACTGTTTATATCTAATTTATAACAATAATGTATATTTTTAAAAATAAATTTCATTTTCAAAATTAAATTAAATAAAAGGATTATAATTTTAGATTTTATAAAAAATTTATTTTAATAATTTTTAGATGTATTTATTATGTAAAATTGAAAGTAGCGAGCTACCGCTATCGCTATTTTTTAAAAAAAGTAGCGCGATATAGCTACCGCTACTGAAAAAGCTACGCTATTTTAACAACACTGGGCCCGACCAAGCCCGAACGCGATCCAGACCGGGCCTACTTTTGCAGATCCCTAATGTAAATATTACTTTATTAAATCCCTTATAATTTAAAATAATAAAAAATTTATAACTAATAATTATATTTAAATAAAGTATTTTTTTAAAAACAAAAAACGCCCACTTGCGGATAAATATTATTGAGTTAAATATTTTAATTTTATTTAAAGATCTAGCAATTTGAAGATTGTAACTATGGTATATAATTGTATAAAATGTAAATTTTTTATTAGATTGTGGGAATATTTATATTCATAAAAATATGAACTTGTTTAAATTAGACGGAAATATTTAATGAATATTACTTTCTCATTAAGTACTATCTTTTTACAATATAAATCATGACGAAAATTTTGTTAATTTACCATACAAGTTTCACTCTGTGTCCTTTATAACCACAACGATTACATATATTTTCACCAAATTTTTCTTAGCATCAAATTCTTTTTTCTTTTGAAAAACTTTTTTTTTCATTTGGACCATTTTTAACAACTACTATCTGGCTTTTATTATAATTATTCATAATCAATTTATATATATCCAGAACTTTGATTATATCTTTCATGTCCTTTGATTAATGAAGAATAACCACCAATCTCTCCACACATTTCGGAAAATCGCACTGGCTATCCTTTATAATAACCACTTCTGGTTTATCCTTCTTCATTTCATTTAAAACTTCTTTTAACCAAGTCAGATATTCTTTTAAAATAATTATTTAACACCACTGTGTTTTTATCAAAATTATTTTTTACCTTGAACACTATACATTGGTACATTTCCTTATAGAATTTATTTAATGAATAGCACATATATTATTACTAATAATATCGTAAACAAATAATCAATTTTATCGCAAAACTCTATGACAAAAATCTTTATAAATGTAAATTTTATCAAAAATATTATGTTCATTATCAAAATTAACATAAAAGCACTTTCCACCTAACCTTCTAAATTACCAAATTAATTATATATTTTATGAATCCAACTCGCCCTTAAAGTTTAAACTTCTTATTTTATTTTTAGTTCATCATATGATACTAAATTCATTTGCTTACAACCTCCTTTAAAACAAGGTTAAAATTTATTTAATATATTCTATAAATCCAACTCGCCTTTTAAAATTTAAATTTCTTTATTTTATTTTTAGTTCATTTTTAAGATACTAAAATTTATTTGATTACAACCTTCTTTAAAATGATGATAAATATTTAATCATAAATATATGTCCCAATATTCTTATTTCTTTAAGTTACCTCAATAATCGTTAAAAAATATTAGCATTTCCAAATTTCAACCAAAATAATTCATTTTAAGTTAAAAAGTAACAATAAAAAAATTTTCCATTTTTCCCATTTAGAAAGGGTTAAAAAAAAATTGTTTACCACCTTTATCATTACTTTAAAAATATTAAATAAAAATCACTACACAAAATCCTTATTCTAAAAAGTCAAATCTTATTTAACAAAAAAAAACCTGTGACAACAATGATTTAATTTAATTAGTGGATATAATTGCAAATCACCTAATATGTGGCATTAATAAGTCTATCCCATAAAGTATAATTTCTATATAAATGCATTTATTATATTTCATATGTCAAATTTCAATTGGAAAAATATATATTGTAAATCAATAAATTTCAACTATATAGTTTGATATATACTTGGAAAACAGGGCAAAATCAATTCAAAGGTACGATTCGATCAATGATAAAGGAAACAACCATGCCGAAATTATAATAATGGAATAAATCTGAAGATTGATAAGTTTCGAATTCATAAAGGGTATAGACTCCTAGCTTATGAGGGGTGGGCGTGTCGCAGTTGTTCAAATTTACAATGAAATACTGCAAATTATAATATATTTTAAGGAACGACAATCATGCATTTTGTGTTTGATTTTGTTTTTTATTTTCATATAAAAATTATTATATATATTCTGATGAGAAGAAAATAAATTTTTGTTGCGATTTTAGTCAGAGCTTAACAGAAGGCATAAAGCACTCCTTGTAAAATGTTCTCCAGTTTTGAGTAAGTTTGAAGCATCTTCTCAATGGATCCATAAATCACAATTTTTGATGAAAAATGACAAAAAAATAACAAAAATTGTGGTTATATATCTTAGTTTGAAATTTCTTTTTATTTATCTAAATAAATTTTTTTTAAAATTATACTTTTAATAAATTAATATTTCACCCCCAGCTGACTTGTCATTTTTTGCAGTAGGAAGAGATTTTGATAAAATTTATGAATGAGGATGATTATAATGCTACTATATTCCATATCATTTTGTAAAATTTTCAATATAGTTTTTATAGAAAAATCATTAATTTCATATCATTTTGAGATCTAATGTGAAATATTTATTAATAGAAAATCATTTCTAACATAAATTACCAATAATATCTAAATATCTTCTGATAAGGCATCTTGGGTTAAGTAAGTATATAAAATCATAGCCATTAAATAAAATATACAATCTGTAAATCACATGATAGAATTACTATTGACTTAGATTATTATTGGAAGAATATTTTTTAAAAGAATACCATTGGCTAAATTTGATTGACGTTTTTGAGGATTATATATAAAGATATAATCACTAAATTTTATTCTTAGATCATATATAACATTAAAATTCTATGATAATCGGATATATTTTTTTAAAAATATAAACATTTCAAAATACACCATTAATTAAATTTGTATATTGCTTAATTAAAAACAAAGTTTAGAAAAACCGGAATAAAGCAGCAAGAACCTATTTTAATTGTAGTTTATTTTAACATAATATTTGCCGATATTTTATTAGTGTATCTTTGTTAAAAAATATTTAATTTATATTAAAATGTATAACTATGCTTTATTAGAATATAGAGAATAAATGATAATTAGTGTTACACAAATTAACTCATAACAAAATTATAATTTATATAACCGGATGTTTAAACTAAAAGTTGTGCTTTAGCTTTTATTAAAAGGTTAGTAATACTATCAAGCATAATGAAATTATCTCCTAATTTGTAAAATATAAACCTATGTTTTTTAAAAATAACTTCCATTTTTAAAATATATTTTATAACTGGAATCACACGCTCGCCTCCAATCTATTATATAACACATACCTAAGATGGATTCACAAGTTGTCTTAAAAAAATTTAGTACTTACTGGATTCGAACTCAGGACTATCAGATTGACAAGCCAAGCTTATATAAACTAGACCTTAGATGCTTTACGTAATCTTTTAAGTTACTAATTAAGGGGGTCTACTAATTTTAATATTCAAAATTATTTTTAATGATATATTACCATTTTATGAATCTCCCCAAAAAGGTAAACATTATTCTGCATTCATTTTTTATAAAGAGAGTATATTTAGCGTAGGGCTTTTTAGATGTTTTCTTTTTGATATTTAAATAATTTACCCTATTTTTTATAAATGTAAAATAACATTTTCTATAATATCTGAATAAGCTAAACATGATTCTGAATTCATTTTTAGAAATAGCGTATATTAACCGAGAGCACGTATTTAAGTCAAAAAATTATTTTTTTGATAATTAAGTATTTTTTAAAAAAATGAATACTATCATTATCTGAATATCCTCGAGGGGCTAAACATGATTCTGCATTCATTTTTTTAAAAATAGGGTATATTTATTGAGAGCGCGTATTTTAAATTTTTTTAAAAAAAAAAATGCCACTATTTTCTGAATCTCCTCAAAGAGCTAAACATGATGCTGCTTTTATTTTTAAAAATAGCAAAGCGAATAATTTAGTCAAAAAAAAGAAAAAAGTGTTTTTTCAAAACCCACTAATAAGTTATTAAAAATTTATAAACTTAATATTAACATTTTCTAAATCCCTTTAATGAGCTAAATAATTCTGCGGTCATTTTTTAAAAAAAGCTTATATTTACCGAGAGCGCGTAATTTAGTAAAAAGTGTTTTATTTAATTTCAGAATTCTTTTAATGAACTATATTGCTATATATGATAAATAGTACATATTTATTGAGAGCGCGTTTTTTAATCATGTAAAAAAATTATTTTTTAACGATTAAAAATTTTATTATATCACCATTTTTTTTTAATTAAAAAAAAATATAATCATCTTATTAAATACGATTCTATATTAATATAATTTAAATTACGCTTCTTTGATAGAAAGCATATATTTCCAAGGCACATACTTTAGTCATGCCCATATTGACTGATACCTTTAGTATTAGCTCAATACAGATATAACAAGTATTGATGCCTCTCTGATCAAGAATTAATATTGCCAAAGTCCAAATTTAGCATTAAATTTTATAACAGATTGATTATCACTTTTATAATAAATTAGAATTAATATTACCTGCTCTGTCATGCACAAAATCTCATTGGTTATTGATTGGATTGATCTATTTTTCTCTCTCCCTCGTGTAAATGGCACTATACAAAATGAACACATATTATTACATCCTCTCATGATAGACCTATATTAAATTTTTAAAGTAAATCTAGAAAAAATAAAATAATTACACAAATGCACTTGGGGATAGAGAATTAAATCTCTCAGGGATAATATCAGCATATGTTTCATCTAATGATAATAACACATTAGCTAAATTTTGTGGCTGATAATTATCATTAATTGACTCATTTTTATCCAAGGATTTAAGATATGCAGAAGCCAACAAAATAGGTAGATCTCTATAGGCATCAGGTCCTGCTATAAAATCTATCATATTGTCATATTCAAATATTTTTTCTTTCAATCTTGCTGCCATACAACCTTAAATTTATGTTTAATTTAAATAAATCTTTTACTTGGTATATAAAACCTAATATCCCTATTTTAATTGGTGGATAAAGATTTTGTTTTTCACGTTGAATTTTCAAATATTTTAGGCTGTGTAATTTATTCCATATCTTGAGTTCTGCACTTTCACGGATGGCACAAGTAACAATAAGAATAATATCAGCCTAAATAACATAAATAGTATTTTCTTATTCAATATACTATACTTCTAGTAATTTATCAATCTTAATATAATTATTATTTTTCAAAATACTCCAAGCAATTTCGGCATCATTAAAGTTCATTTGGCAACCATGAATCTCAAAATATACTTTAAAATATTATTTTAATATAATTAATGTAGAAAAACCTTTTAACTTCTGCCCTTTCAATATGTCATAATTTATGTATGGAATCTTTTCAAATTTAATAGGTGACTTAGTTTTAGCCAAAAAATCAAATAAAGAAGGATCATTTGATAACTTTTCCTCGGTATTTAATTTAGTATTTTGATTGGATCTTACAATATTTCTTAAAACATTATTAATTAGCAAAATTTTTTTAATTTTTTCAAGCATGTTTATTTGATTTCCGTGCCTATGATCGTATGGACACTTCATCGTAAAGTTTCGTCCAATTCTGTGATTGGTTCATTAAAGTGCGGGAAAAGTAATAGTTTAAAAATATTTTTATTTATAATCGAAATTCTTCTTGAGAAAAGAATTAATCCCAATATAATTCAATGTTAACAATCTAGATATAATCAATTTGGTAATGTAATTTTAGAAAACAAAATTGCTAATAAAAAATCCAAAAGAGGACATGATATTCTATGTTTTAATGATTTGGAATATACATTGCATAGAGTAATTAATTCGAAATCATATTATCTATGTAGAAGAAGTTGTTCTGGGCGGGGTATTTTTCAATCAGTAAGTTCACAGAAACTCAGGATCATACCTTAGAACAATGTAAATCCCCTATTGGTAAGTTTTTTTTATAGATAATTCACTATAACACCTATTATTTAGTCAATAACCTTCTTCTTATGTCTGATAGTCAACCAATAACTCAATTTCAATTATCTCAACAAATTATACAACTTTCATTATCAAGTTTCATAAAATATTAGATTTTTAAAATCAATATAGTTTTAGACTATCAGCTTACTCAATCTCAAATTCTAGCAATGCCCAACATGCAGTCTGCTAATACCATATCAAGTTTCACAAAATAAAATTTTTATAATCAATTTTTTTTAGGCAATATGTTTACTCAGTCTCAGTTCTTTGTTACAAACTCTCAACCAACTTTAACTAGTATCATCAATTATTATCTTTTTATATTCATTACTTTTAGTTAATATATTTTCTCAATCTCAACCCCTAGTAACACCTAACATGCAACCTCTTAATGCCACATCAAGTTTAACAAGTTATCAAATTTTATAATCATTTAATTTTTAGGCATTATATTACCTCATAGGAATGACTCTAAAAAAAACAAATTCCAAATATATCCTAAAAGAAAGAAATTTAGAAAAGCTGACTACACAATATAATAATCATATTATTAATTTGGAGTTTGCTGATAAATCATCAGCTTATATTAAATTAGTATACAATTCAAATGTATTTGATAATATTTAATTTATATTTGTTTTATACATGTTGAATAATTTATATTTATTTTAATCATGTTTCTTTGTTTTATACATTTTAAATAATAAATATTTGTCTTATACATTATAAATAATAAATATTTGTCTTATACATTATAAATAATAAATATTTGTCTTATACATGCTAAATAAATATTAGTTGTTTATATTTTTGTATTCGATTTATACATTTGAAAAAATTAACATATATCATATACATTATAAATTTGAATAATAAAATAAGCTTCTTAATTTGCTGTAAAAATTGTATCCTAGGTTGTTCTTTTGATATTGTGTAAGAGCTAAGATAAATTTTTACCATTTGAAACCTGCTAAATATTCTATATTTGAATAATAATATATATTAAATTTTACCATTTTAAACCTATTAATCTTCTTAATTTGCTGTATAAATTATATCCTAGGTTGTTCTTTTGATATTGTGTAAGAGCTAAGATAAAAAGATAAATTTTTGCCATTTGAAACCTGCTAAATATTCTATATTTGAATAATAATATATATTAAATTTTACCATTTTAAACCTATTAATCTTCTTAATTTGCTGTAGAAATTATATCCTAGGTTTTTCTTTTGATATTGTGTAAGAGCTAAGATAAATTTTTACCATTTGAAACCTGCTAAATATTATATACTTGAATAATAATATATATTAAATTTTACCATTTTAAACCTATTAATCTTCTTAATTTGCTGTAGAAATTATATCCTAGGTTTTTCTTTTGATATTGTGTAAGAGCTAAGATAAATTTTTACCATTTGAAATCTGCTAAATATTCTATATTTGAATAATAATATATATTAAATTTTACCATTTTAAACCTATTAATCTTCTTAATTTGCTGTAGAAATTATATCCTAGGTTTTTCTTTTGATATTGTGTAAGAGCTAAGATAAATTTTTACCATTTGAAACCTGCTAAATATTCTATATTTGAATAATATATATTAAATTTTACCATTCCAAAAGAATTATTAACATTTAACGTAAGATTATGGTAAAAATTTAATTTTTACCATTTCAAATCTATTAATCTCCATTTTGAACGAATTGGACGAGTTGGACGAAAAATACGATGAAGTGTCTTACGATCAAAGGCATCCCTACCGTTTATTTTAGGCCGAGGATAGGTGTAACCAGGTTACAAATATAATCAGAGTTGTACAAAAGATCTTCTTTGAAGATTTTTGAGCCAAAAATTTGAGCAAGATCTTTGAAGATCGTAAAATTTGAAGATCTTTTACTTTTAAAAAATTTTGAGCAACGATCTTCAAAGATCTTCATATTTTATAATGTTTTATTTTTTTGATATTCTTTTTTGAACTGCATGTTAAATTAAAATAAAAATTTAATAAAGATGTACCGACAATTTTCATAATCGTTATTTTTTTAACTTTTTTCGACATATATGGGTAAAAAAAAATTTATATAAAAAAAAATTTATATAAAAAAAAATTTATATTATAATTTCAATGAAGATGTAATGTATTAAAAAGTGGAAATTGTAATAATCGTTATTTTTAACTTATTTGATTTATTATATCCTAAATTAAATAGGTTATAATTATTAATATTAAGATGTAAAAATAAAATTTCAATGAAGATGTACCATAGAAAAGTGACAATTGTTATAATCGTTATTTTTGAAAATTTTTTTATAGCATAGATATTGTTAACATGTTAAATTAAAATTTCAGTGAAGATGAACCACAGGAAAGTGACAATTATCATAATCGTTATTATTGAACTTTTTTAAATTTTTTTAAAGCAAATGGGTAAAAATAGATATTGTTAATATGTTTTAAATTAAAATTTCAGTGAAGATGTACTACAGGAAAGTGACAATTGTCATAATCGTTATTTTTGAACTTTTTTGAAATTTTTTAAAGCAAATAGGTAAAAATAGATATTGTTAACATGTTAAATTAAAATTTCAGTGAAGATGTACTACAGGAAAGTGACAATTGTCATAATCGTTATTTTTGAACTTTTTTGAATTTTTTTAAAGCATTTGGATAAAAATAGATATTGTTAACATGTTAAATTAAAATTTCAGTGAAGATATACTACAGGGAAGTGACAATTGTCATAATCGTTATTTTTGAACTTTTTTGAATTTTTTTAAAGCAAATGGATAAAAGAAGATATTGTTAACATGTTAAATTAAAATTTCAGTGAAGATGTACTACAGGAAAGTGACAATTGTCATAATCCTTATTTTTGAACTTTTTTAATTTTTTTTAAAGCAAATGGGTAAAATAGATATTGTTAACATGTTAAATTAAAATATCAGTGAAGATGTACTACAGGAAAGTGACAATTGTCATAATCGTTATTTTTGAACCTTTTTAAATTTTTTAAAGCAAATGGGTAAATGAAGATATTGTTAACAATATAAATTAAAATTTCAGTGAAGATGTACTACAGGAAAGTGACAATTATCATAATCGTTATTATTGAAATTTTTTAAATTTTTTTAAAGCAAATGAGTAAAAATAGATATTATTAATATGTTAAATTAAAATTTCAGTGAAGATATACCATAAATAATCTTTATTTTTGATTTTTTTATATATAAAATTGAAAACTGATAATTGTCATATGTAATATTTTTAAACTCTTTTTATTAAACAAGGTTAGAATAAAGATATTTTGAAAATTATTTATTATTTCAAAATTATTAAAAAAATATATTGTTAACCAGGTTTGTTGTTAATAAGGTCCTATCCCATTTAATTTAAAAAAATAACCGATCTAATTTTATTTTAATAAAAAATATTGGCTCATTATGTTTCTTAAATTTTTGATGGCTTTTAGATTGTAAAATATTAAAAAGTGGTGCCTTCTAACTTCTATAATTTGAGCGTTATTTAAGTAAAGTCGTGCTTTTACAATGTACAACGACATTGCAGGAACTCAAATTTATATTACGAGCCAAATATATTTATGGATTGTCAAATTCTTGGTTTTTTAGTTTTGACAAAATAATAAACCTGACCTAACTTATTCAATTGGATAGATTTAGTTTTTTTTTATACTGAAAATATTTTATATTTTTTTTATTTTAGTCTATCAATTCGAGTCGCGAAAGGCAGTTTTAAATATGAATATTTATTGTAAACCTAGCATATAAATATTTCTCCTTTTAAAATTCAACCCATACTTTTTGATCCTTCACTACAAAGGTGGAAAAAAATCCCTTAACTACAAAGGTGGGGTCTATTTTATCCCAAATTTTGATTAATATCTCAGAACATATTAAAACTTGAGATCTACAAATACAATTTTGAATATATATTCAAATATTATTGGAAATAATAAATACAAAATCTTAGATTAATAGTTACTTCTAAAAACAGTTATGCAAATTTTACTAAAGTTACTAAAATAAAAATTTTTTTCTGAGACCTTTCTTTAATTATATTTTGATCACCATAAAGTATTTAAAAAAATGCAAATTTTATTGGCCTACCTAGTTTAAAAATGACTTAATAACCTACTAATTATATGCATTTTAAAGCGAATCTTAAAAGACATATTTTCAGTCAACATCCTAATATTGCAGCTAATTTAAATTCAAATGAAGTTAACAATTTAGATATATCAACATCAAGTTCGCAGTCAAACGAGAAGACATCTCAAACAATTAAAATTGTCATGAGCAAATCGAAAGTATTTTTTATTACATACATTATTAAACAATAAAACACTACAATTATGATTATTGTTGGTAAATCGCAGAGTTGTTAAAATATACTTTTTAAATGGATCTAGGTAGAGAAATAAATATTAGTCTAAAAAGTTATAGATACAAATACAATTTTTAAAATGTATCTTGTACAGATACAATTTAAACAATTATCAAGATTGTTGTATCGATTATGTTTTTAAAAAAATTATATATGCTTTTTATATAATTATCTAATTTAACTATTACAATTATCCAATTCAATTGATCTTAATAATTAGAGACCTGCAAAAGTTTACCGGCCTCGCACAAGCAGTATTCGGGCCGTGTACGGGAATATTTTAAAAAAAAATGGGAATCAAGCCAGACTAGGACCTAATTTTTTTTAAACTGGGTGGGGTCGGACCATGTAATTTTTTTAAATACACCTAAATTTATCAATTTTATAATGAATTTTTTATGTAATTTTAAATTATTTGATTTTTATGTAAAATTTAATTATTTATATTTTATTTATAGAAACTAGACGCCATATAACATATGTCTTATATTTTGAGTAATTATAAAAATTAATTTCAATATTTAAATAAATTTATACCGGGCCGGTCCTGCAAAATATTTCGGGCCGAGATTGAGATACTATACATTATGCAGATCACTATTAATGATATACTGAAATTTTCAAAGGATTTTAGCATGACAGAATATTACTTTTTATTGTTCTTCATGGTAATTTGCAGGTTTATCCTGGTAAGCCAGATTTTATATTAAATTAAGATTTATAGCAAATTTTAAACACTCTTCTATAATTTGGGAAAGTTATGAGTATTTATTATATCTACATATTATTTCGATCATGATTTCTTAATTTATATGGGGCTTGATAAACCATAAACATCAATTATGGCACTTAATAAGTTTTAATATTTTATATATATATTTTTTATTAAAGTAGTTTTAATTTTTTTTAATATATATCAGACACCTGCAGAAATACCATTTGCACGGCCCCGTCAGGATTTTTTTTAAAAAAAATTTTAAGATCCGGCCCGGCCGGTTTTTTTTTAAAAAAATTTTTGGGCCCTGTTCGGAATTTTTTAAAATCATATTCGACCTGACATATACAAAAATTTACCTATTCGGTATTTTATCATATTTTTCGGCGAGTATTATCATTTAATATGCATATTAGCTAATGTTGTTAAACGGCTCGTTTTGTGCCATTTTTAAAAACGGC